ATATATATATATATATATATATATATATATATATATATATATATATATATATATATATATATATATATATATTATAATTCATAATTAGGTCATATATTTCATTTTAATAATAGTGTTTAGTTGATCATATATTCTAACTGAAATATATAACAATATATTGTGAGGTTAAGTTGTAAGTAAAAATTAAACTAAGAACATAACAATTTTGATTAGTTTTTTTCTACTTATATAATTGAATTAAATTAATAAATAACATAGTATATGGATACAATTTACTAATATAGAGATCAAATATTAAAATTAAAAATTAAAAGATAGATTTTCCATTGGATATCTAAAATGTGTAAAAGTCGAAAATCCAAACTAAATATTAAGAAAACCTTCACAAATTATTTTGATTTTAATTTAAACATAACCATCTAAAAATATATTTAATTAGTAATTACTTCATCACCATCTAGATGCTTCTAGAAAATATCAATATCATGAGACTAATATCAACATCAATCCAGTTTTCTCACAACCCTAATTTCTCACTCATGCTACTATCTATATATACCCTCTTTCATTCGTAAGTTTAGAAATTACATGTTTTCTTGAACCACGATCGCTTCTTTTTCATTCTCAACTAACATTTCTCATATTCCTTCATGATCCAAGCTTAATCTAGTTCTTCGTAAATATTACTTTCATCCAAATCAAATGTACTACGTTTGATAACATTTACAACAAAGCCCCTTAGTTTTTGCCATTATCTATTAATCTAATCCCTGAAAACCACATTCAACATTGATTTTAAAATTTCGCTATTTGATTTAATGGATAACAAACAATGATTTTACATCCTATACAAGTTTTGATGGATTCATTAACAATGTTGCAATATTTGATAGTGCATTTGATGGATTCATACATTTTTGTTTCAACCGTGATTTCCTTGATTAATTATCAGTGAAACTCAATTGAACCGTAGCAAAGCCACATTTGAATTCTGAATAGTTTTTTTGCATGGTGTTGGCAACATTTTAGACTCCTGTTGAACTCTTTATGGTTCAATGATTGACTTCAGAATCCCTTCATGTGTCTGATCCAATAGGGAATCGAGATTTTTGGCTTGGCTCCCCGGTTCTCTGTAGTTGATGTTGCTTCCTGTGGATTTGGGTTTTTAATTTTGGCATATAAGAAGCCCGAGTTCTAGCTTGGTCATGTTGCGGTGACGTTATATTTTAAAGTTGGTGTAGTTTTCTCTCTATAAGATTTTTTGTTTCTTGTTTTTGTTGTGTTTTCTTGTGGTGTATATTTCCTTTCATTGTTGTTGTTGGTTATTTTTGTTTTTATTAGTAATTTTTTGACTTGACCCGTCCGGTGTCTCTATTATCCTTATACTTTTATGTGAGCTTTATAGTGTATCTACAATATTATTTTACCATTAAAAAATATGAACAACAAAAAAACATGTTTAAAGTGCAAAGGAAATAGATTTACATTCAATGTGTATACTATATTATTTCAGAAAGGTCATATATGACCTCTTATACATATACAATGTTGTACGATTTGTTTATTCTGTTTCAATATTTTAATTTGTATTATCAATTTTATAGCGAAAGCTTTATATATATATATATATATATATATATATATATATATATATATATATATATATATATATATATATATATATATATATATATATATATATATATATATATATATATATATATATATATATATATATATATATATATATATATATATATATATATATATAAAATGTATTACACTAATACAAAGGAAAAAGTAATGTTCATTATAGTATGCATCTTGAAAAATAACATATTATTAGTTACCCCAATTATGCTAACAATGAATTTAGTCACTTTTTTTGTTGCTTTTATGTCATTTAAATATTATCTATTAAAAAAAAATTATTTATTTTATAAAAAAACAAAAGAAATATTTTTTTTCTAAATATACTATTTATTTCTAATTCTAAAGAACCATCTTAATATAAATTATATAAATAAAAGGAATTTGAAAAACAGTTTACATTTTAAATATATCATTAATAAAATATTGAATTATTTTAGAAAAAATTAGACACGTAAATCTAATATCTGTGAAGTTTTCATATTTTCCAATAGCACACTCATCATAACAACTATGATGATTTTTTAAAACATTAAAAAACTTTGTATTAGTATTTTTATTTTTTATTAATATTATATTTTAAAAAATTTAATATAAGTTTTCAAATTTATGGTATTGTTTTTTTTTTGTTTGTTTGTATACATTTATGATGATTTTTTTTATTAATATTAAAGTATTGTATATTATACATTAAAATTATTATTTGACTACATCTTTATAGTATTATTATTATTAAAATACATATATTTTTTATTTGAATAATAAAAATGAAATTAAAAATTAATTAACTGTAATAATTAAATTCAATATATTTTCATTGGATCATAACTTCGATATGTAGTATTTATTTTTATCTTTCGAGCAAATATTTATTTGCCTTAAAATTGAAAATCGCAAAACGAGCATCCGTATAGCCACTGTTAACATCTAAAAAATAGTTATTATATTGATAGTTCATTTCCCATCAAAATGTAAACATATTAAATTTAAGTTATATAAAAACACTATTAAAACTAATATTTTTTAAAAATATATATTAAATCAATAGAATAAATATATTAATAAAAAATATTTAATAAAAAGTATAATAAAATGAGAAAGGAGTAAAATAAATTTTGAATATATATATTATAATTCATAATTAGGTCATATATTTTATTTTAATAATAGTGTTTAGTTGATCATATATTATAACTGAAATATATAACAATATATTGTGAGGTTAAGTTGTAAGTAAAAATTAAACTAAGAACATAACAATTTTGATTAGTTTTTTTTCTACTTATATAATTGAATCAAATTAATAAATAACATAGTATATGGATACAATTTACTAATATAGAGAGCAAATATTAAAATTAAAAATTAAAAGATAGATTTTTCATTGGATATCTAAAATGTGTAAAAGTCGAAAATCCAAACTAAATATTAAGAAAACCTTCACAAATTATTTTGATTTTAATTTAAACATAACCATCTAAAAATATATTTAATTAGTAATTACTTCATCACCATCTAGATGCTTCTAGAAAATATCAATATCATGAGACTAATATCAACACCAATCCATTTTTCTCACAACTCTAATTTCTCACTCATGCTACTATCTATATATACCCTCTTTCATTCGTAAGTTAGAAATTACATGTTTTCTTAAACCATGATCGCTTCTTTTTCATTCTCAACTAAGTTAGAAATATTACTTTCATCCAAATCAAATGTACTACGTTTGATAACATTTACAACAAAGCCCCTTAGTTTTTGCCATTATCTATTAATCTAATCCCTGAAAACCACATTCAACATTGATTTTAAAATTTCGCTATTTGATTTAATGGATAACAAATAATGATTTTACATCCTATACAGGTTTTGATGGATTCATTAACAATGTTGCAATATTTGATAGTGCATTTGATGGATCCATCCATTTTTGTTTCAACCGTGATTTCCTTGATTAATTATCAGGGAAACTCAATTGAACAGTAGCAAAGCCACATCTGAATTCTGAATAGTTTTTTTGCGTAGTGTTGGCAACATTTTAGACTCCTGTTGAACTCTTTATGGTTCAATGATTGACTTCAGAATCCCTTCATGTGTCTGATCCAATAGGGAATCGAGATTTTTGGCTTGTTGCTTCCTATGGATTTGGTTTTTTAATTTTGACATATTAGAAGCCCGAGTTCTAGCTTGGTCATGTTGCGGTGACGTTATATTTTAAAGTTGGTGTAGTTTTCTCTCTATAAGGTGTTGGTGTAGTTTTCTCTCTATAAGGTTTTTTGTTTCTTGTTTTTGTTGTGTTTTCTTGTGGTGTATATTTCTCTTCATTGTTGTTGTTGGTTATTTTTGTTTTTATTAGTAATTTTTTGACTTGGCATGTTGGGTGTCTCTATTATCCTTATACTTTTATGTGAGCTTTATAGTGTATCTACAATATTATTTTACCATTAAAAAATATGAACAACAAAAAAACATGTTTAAAGTGCAAAGCAAATAGATTTACATTCAATGTGTATATTATATTATTTCAGAAAGGTCATAAATGACCTCTTATACATATGCAATGTTGTACGATTTGTTTTGATTAGTAACGTTATTTCTTTCTTCCTGTTCAGCGCTTGTTATTGAGTTGGTGGAAAAGAGGGCTAAGCCCAATTTATAATTTTAGAGTTTTAAATATTTATGTCATTTATATTTCAAAAGTTAATTGTAGCCTTGTTGGTAGTTGTGTACTCCTATGGAAGGGAGGTCTCTAGTTTGATTCAGTATTAAGCCAAAAACTTATTCGTAAATTTTTTTACACTTATATAATACTAAAAAATCATTTAAAACAAAAAACAAAACAAACTGGCTCCGTAGAAACAAGTAAATAGAGATATCATATATATTTTTTAAAAAAAATAGAGCTTTCATAAGCTGCGAGTAATATCAAATATCACAAAATTAGTTTCTACTTTCCACTACCAATGTTGTCTTTCTGTGGCCAGAACGCAGAAGACATATACCATTGCCTGTGACACCCAAAACGTGCCACCAACAACGGTAATAAAATTGATTACGAGTAATGACATACATATTAGACAAAAAGGGGGCAAGTGGGGAATATATATGTTCCCCCCAAACCTATAATATTTATTCCTTATCAGCTTAGCTTCGGTTAGTATCAAAGTCAATCCTTTTTATGTTGCCAATGCCCTTAGCCCTCAAAAAATTGTGGATATTCAATGGTCCGTGTTACAAGAACCATGCAATTGATGGATTATCTTCTTGGTCACAAAACTCAGACTTGTGATCCTTCGAAATGCAGAAAGCTGTCAAAATATTTCTTATTCTAGCCACCACATTTCTAATCAATTTGATGCCGGTGCTTCGTCGCTAGACAGTATCCTTTCCATGTCTTCAAGATATGGCCAATTTTTTCTGATATCCTTCCCATTCTTGATCTCCTGATTAGAATATAAACCAAGTTATTATTGAAATAGTATCTGGGTCAGAAAATTATATTTATCATCATTTCCTTCACTTGTACTAAAGCTGAATATAATCCCTCCTATTATATATATGGATAATACTGAAATATACATGACCAAAAAAGCCGCTTTCATTCGCAACACAAGTTTATCTTTACTTTCTCTACATCAAAATATTATAGTTAACATAGAGAGACAGACAGAGGTGAAAGAAAGAATCCAGCTCCTCTTTTTTGTAACTTATTCTTTGAGATGATATGAGATAGCTCAATTGAAACAAAGTGTGGTAAATGATTTCACTAGCAATGATGAAATAGTATGCAATACCTATGCAATTGATATTTCCTAATCACAGTAGAAATGAATTTATAAGTACGTTCATCCTAGCTGCATGAAGCACCTGAAGAGAGGGTCAGGGGCAGTATTACTTCACCAAGTAAGCAGTAGTTTCACACCGAAAAAGATGCAAGGAAACCATGTGATGAGTTTGACTCAAAGGTAATGTCAAGTGGGCAAGAGGCTCATAAGTAATGTCAAGTTTGGCTCCCACGGTTTAGGGGTATTATTGTAATCTAGATCATTAGTATCCCTATATATGCTTGTAACACTGAAACAATGTGTGTAACTCAGAACAAATTAATAAGACTGAACTATAGCTGCTTTATAGTCGCAGACGTAGGCAATTTGGCCGAAGTGCGTGAACAAAGTTTGTGTGTTTCTCTCTACTCTATCTGTATTTGCATGATTGTTCCAACACCTTGGGATAATAAAAGTTTTTCTTATTTCTATCTTAGTGGCAAGAAAAGACAAGTAGATTGGTGTACAATATGGAAATTTTTCAGATTAAGAGAATAAACAAGTTCATGCAAATATTACAGAAAAAGAGACGGTAAAAATCAGAAGAAATTAATTTTCTCACACGTGAATTTATAGAGGTTTCCTTGGGGCCTGTTTGGTATGCTGGGATGGATGGAGGAGGTGGCAAGCATGAGCTTTTTCCCTTCCCTCCCATCATAACTTATTGTACATTAATTTTTTGATAGGCAACATTTTTGGATCCACTCCTACAGTGGTAAGGGGGAAAAATTTGGGTTTCGATACAATTTTACAAGCAAAACCCAACGAAGATTTTTACCTTGTACCTAATTGATCATTAAATATAAAAACCAAAAAAACAGTACGCTTGGAATCAAGGATGATTATTTAAGTGAAAGGATGGCATTCTTTATTAAGTTGCTTATAAGAAACAAACCTCATATTTCTGTACCAAAGATGCCCACCGAGATTTGCATTGTCCAGGACTTCTGCTGATCCCAACAGCCAACAAGCTCTGAGATATCTCTTCCCAGAGAGCCATCCTTCCCTTCACAACTTTAAATCTGTCACGAAGGTCACTCCGCAAATCAATCAGCTTATTAACTTCCTCAGTTTTCCATCTATTTTTCTTTACTGATTTTGATGACTCTGGCTCAGCATTAGACATTTCTTCAGACTTGGCTTCATCAATGCCTTCAGAATCATCTTGCTTCAGATTGGACTTATAGTCCTTTCGTGAAACATAACCATTGTTAGCTTTGATTGACTTCTCAACTGATGATGCAATGAATGGTTTCCAAAATTCATCTGAATCCTCTGAATCGGGTAAATCGCCCTCATCTCCACTTGTAGTGGTGTCTTTCTCAGGTAATAGTCCTTCAATATCATTGTCGTCAATATCATTGTCATCGTCTGCATAATTAATAGAAATAGAACATGGTGAGAGTAAACATAAAAGATATAGTAAAAAGAATCACACCAAAATAAATTGGTGTAAATCAGGTATCGAAGGACTAACGCCCATATTTCAATTACTATATACACTCAAGTAAAGCAAAACTTACTAGTAAATAATTTTGAAAACATATGAATGCACCATCTAAACTCATATGGGGAATTGAACTAACCTTCAACATTGCATTTTTTGTGAAGAAAAATGCTAGAGTGAAAACCATAGTCAGATTGGTTTACGCGTAAAAAGCTCCCTTTGAGTTTCACAAAAATAGACCAGTTAAATGCTTACCTACGGGTGTCATGTGCCAATAACAGTAGCATTTTACTGGAAGGAAATAAGTTTTCAAAATTTCTTCTTAGAGAACTTATGTTTATGTTAGTATATATGATTATGATAAGATAGGTGCAGAGCCTGATTGCTTCCTTCCACTCTACTTTCACAATAGACAAATTGGATAGTTGGTTGGGTTTAGCAACTAATGTTAGGTATGAAAATGGATTCAAAAGAATCAAACAAACACTTCGTTGCTTATTTCGTAAATTGAAAATACAAGTACAAAAGTGAACCAACCGGATCTCAACAGTTGGCAGTTTTATATGTATTCCTGAAATGCACTTTGATGTTACCTCTTATTTGCATTGTGGTGGATTGGTTTTCCTTTCTACGTTCATCCACTACCTTTCTTAATGTTGATATTTCAGGACCAACATGGGACTTGCCAGACAATTTTGTGATTATCTCATCCGCAAAAACAGCTCCACGGTTTTCTATGGCAATGGCAATTACTTCAGGCCGTTTACCACTGTACTTCCTCACCATCTTCCTCAACATCTCAGACACAGTTCTTTCCATGTGAGGCAGTGGGCTTTTAACGGGACAGCTAGAAAGCGCTGCATGAGCAGCTTTATAAAGTGCATCTAACAGCTTCCCTTTGTCTAGCCATAGGCATCTCGTGGTAATCCTTATCTTCGCTTTCAAAGTGTTTTCAGCCAAACTTTCTAAATTTTTAGGGCGAAATATTTCCATGCTGTAAAAGATAAATGTTAGGATGCACTAAACATGCTATACTTCTCTATGACTTACTTTAAAACATGAAAGATCTACCTAATCACAATGATGCCATCTAATGCAATTCTCAATCTTTCATCAATAAAGAGTTCACTAGATGTACCAAATGCTTTGTCGCCGTCACTATATTTCAACTGCAAGAGAAAGGAAACCCAAAAATCTCATAGCTTATTAGAGGCTTTCTAAAAGAGACCAAAGATAGTACTCAGGACCACCAACCTGTAAATTCTCTTTTCCAAGGGAAATGAAACCATTAGAAAGAACCCTTCTATTTCTCAAGTGTGAAACCCCAAGCATCTCTCCGTTTTTTATAACCTGGTGCATAAAGGTCTCGAGTCAGCTAACATGTTATGTGAGAACTCACATGATATATTTAAACACATATCTATCACAAGATTTGTTTGAGAGGAAATGACTCACAGCAGTATGCCGAATGCCAGTTGATTTTCCAAGTGATTCATGCTCCTTCAGGAACAAATATTCTCCATGTACAGGAAGAAAATGTTGTGGCTTCACTATTCTAAGTACTTCCTCCTGCAAAATGTGTATTTTATTTACTTTTTATTAGCATGTCATGTCAAACAGAAAATGTATAGAAATCATCTTGAATGACACATTCATCACATGAATGAGTAAACTGAAGAGGCATCAGAAGAAATAAACTAGTTTGAAAAGACTTGATCATTCATGCATGTGAATTCTAAAAAACTCACTATCAGGATATCAAGGGTTGGTTTGCTACAAATTATTAAAAAATTATTTTTATATTCAATAATTTTGAGACATTATTTAAAAAAGAATCGATATTATGTTGTGTTTGTTTATGGTAATGTAAATCACAATTTTTATATTAAAAATCAGCTAACAGAAATTTATTTCAAGAACATCTCACATGATGTTTTTTTTTTCAGATTCTAATTAAAAAAAATTGTAACAAATGGAGCCCTAACTACGAAAAAAGGCAAACACCTAATTTTTCTTATCCAAATACCGATGAGAACTTGGAAGACTTTGGAAGGTATAAAGAAGTAAATATTTCCAGTTTCTTTAAAAATGGTTTTTAAACTATCCTTGGTTAGAAGAGTAGTAGTAATAATTTGGTACTCATAATTATTTTATGGAAAGGGCACTTGTTAAAAATCTAAATATAGAAATTGCCTTGGAAAGCATGCATCCATTTCCTTAAAAATTGTTTTATCCAATACAAAATTTCTTTGAATCTTTAACATGTGTGGTTAGCATGATCCTTATTTGATATCTTGAAAGTGTTGAATAGACAATGACGAGCAAATAAAAAATATTTATAACTGAAATAAAAAATAGGAACACAGAAATGTTGTGCAATAAAAAACTTACCAATTCTCCACGATATGCATGACCAGATGTGTGCAAGCAATCATTTCTCCCCATAACTATTGTTGATCCAATCTCTGATATGCGATTCATCATTTCCATCACACGAGACTCATTACCAGGGATAACCTGACAGTTTGATTTTGAATCAGAGGAGGACAAATCAAAAACTACAAACTAGTTTGTGAATAAATTTTTTGAAGACATCACTAGAAAGGACTGGAAGTTAGAATAGCAGACTGTAAATTCATAACGGGTTCTTTAATTATGCTACCTATATTAGGCTTTAAGATAAAGTTAATCCCAAACAGATAAATGCAGTATTTTACCATACCTTAGCTGAATACAAAATAATATCTTCCTTGGTAAGTTTGAAAAAATGGCTACTTCCATAAGATGCAAGATTTAAGGCAGCACGTGGCTCTGCCTGACACAATAGCATGCATATTTGGTCATATGACTTAAACTTTTCCAACGTTGATATTTCATGAAACCACGCAGTATTTTTTAAGGATAGTGTAAGTAACTTACTTGAGAGCCGGTTGTTACAATAAGCAGATCTTTGGGTGCATAAGCATCAATATCCTCTGCTTTCACCTACGTAAAATTACGGACAATGAGGGCAACAGACATAAGACGTACACATGCAGTTATAAATGCAAGAAAAAAAACGTGAATAGGTTCCATTGTAAATTTTAAAACACAAATGGTGCACAAATACTGAATTGTAGTTATCTAATTAGCATGAAGACAAATTAGAAACATTATATTAGATGAATAGCCGTTGCCTCAAAAGCTGATAATGTAGGGAGTAAATAGTTTCTGAAAACTCTACCAAAGAAAAGACTGAAATATGGCAAGAAATCACATGATCATAAAGTGCCACGAATAACATTGTTTATAATCAAAACACACCATCTAACATGAAAGTTAAGTATTGAAAGCAGATGGTTATACTGAAAGATGATTTTTGAATGAACTAGTAAAGAGGGGCAGGCCAATTAGTCACAAATAATGACAACATACTGTATTTAAATAACCATAATGAACCTCTTGAGATCATGTAGTCAAAGGCACTGAAGTAAGATGTCAAAAAGGGATAACAAAGGATGGGCTTGTTTCCAGGTTTGAATTTATATTCCTTGGAATTATATTCCCATGATTACTATTTCCAGGAATAATATTCATACTCATGTGTTAGTAAAAATTTAGATATCCTAGGAATACTTGTAAAATTTGTTTAATTTAAGTTTATAAGAAAATAAAAATAAAGTGAGAATTATTGGGAAGTTATACTTAGTTGAACTTATTCCCATGGGAATGCTAAATTTTCCACACTTTAAGCATTGGAATAATATGGAAGAAATCGTTTGTAAATAACATTCTTGGGAATAAAAAACACCCGAGAACAATTTTCAGAAACCTAAACAAACATGGGAATTGCATTTCCAATACCACGTTCTCAGGAATGTAATTTTAGACCTTGAAACAAACACACTCAAAGTTAAAATACATTGGAGAACTCAGGTGGTGATTTATCTACTTGCAGAGAATTTATCTTATTTATTTACTTGAAACAGACAACAAATTAATAAGTCAATCTGATTGCAGTAACCCGACCAACTTCTGAAAATCATAACCAGTGACAACATGCACCGAATCTCTGCTAAAAACCTAGTTTATGAAAAAACAGATCAGCAATAGACTTCAGCATGACTGTATGGACCATTTATTGGGTGACGGGTCGAAATTTTAAAATTAGGTCTAGTCACCAAGTACATCAAAATTGGAAGAATTCTATAGAAAATTCTAAAACATTCATTACCAGAGTGGATGGATCAAAAGGAGCCTTTCCATCCTTCCAAGCTGCTTCTAAGTATGTCCTTAAAGACATGCCAACAAATACCTGATATAATAATTATACAGCTATAGTCTTTAAGTATTTTGTCATTCTAAACAAGAAAACCATTATCAATTGCATTACAGAATATTAGCTAGTGGGAATATATATTACCATCTTTCTGCCAGTTAAATCAGCAGCAGCTTTGACACTTCCAATCCGATGTAGATTTGATGCAAACTGGGTTGTAATAACCCTTCCTTTAGAAGCTGAAATATGCCTCAATAATGAATCTGCTACAACAGATTCACTGGTTGTCCTTCCAGGTGAGAGCACATTTGTCGAATCACTCATCATCTGAAAAGCAAAGTCCAAATCCATGTTTGCTTGTTGTTAACATTTAAGATGAACAAGTGAAAGGATATATATTTGATTTAAACAATAGAAAAAAAAAATAAACAGTCAATATGATCGTGTTAAATTATAAACAAGTGAGCATCTGGTATCTTCGACTAATATTTTTATGTTCAATAGAGCAAAACAAAAAACCAAAGAATTTTTTTCTAACAATACAAGCGGGGAAAAGCACATTGAAAGAATATCTACTAACCAAAGTAGAGATTACATATTTAAAATATATATCAAGAAAGAAAAATAATGCAATGAAATTTTGAAGTGGAAAGGTGTCTTTTGAGCAGTTCTAACAGCATTGACCATGAAAGCCATATTCAGCTTAACAGGGACTATCTGAGTACTGCTCAGAGAGCACCACCACAATTAAAGATATACACCTCAAGTAAACTGTTAGTAGCCTGTGAAACCCACAAGATCTTCAAATTGCACTAAGCTTATCTCTTCCTTATCATTAAAGCCAAGAATAAGCTCAAAATATATTATCTAAACCCATAGTTAGTAGCAAAGGTCCAGGTGACTCACCAATGTTACTCCTTCTTTAGAGAGTTCCTCTAAAGCCTCTCGATCAAAAACTTGCCCATCAAGTGGTGTCTCGTCAATCTAACAAATCAACTTTTTCAGCATCAGGAGATTCAAGGTAAATGAAAGGGACAATGCATAGAGAACTAAAAGTAAAACTCTGACCTTCCAGTCCCCAGTGTGAAGAATTGTACCATCAGAACAACGAAGAACTAGTCCACAACAGTCAGGAATAGAATGAGTGACCCTAATAGGTTCTATTTCAAATGGCCCGGCGACAAACTTGTTCTTTGCTCTAAAGATTTTGAGTCTAGATGTAAGAAAAATACCATGCTCCTTCAAACGTTTTTTTATAAGCTGTTAAAAGGAAAAAGCTTTACCTTCTCTGGACTGCAGTGGATAAAATAAACAATGCAAATAACAGATATCTGATGACAAAATTATGCAAACAAAATTTTAGATATAATAGATGCCTATTACTGTAATGAAAACTGAAGAACTCGAGAGTTATTCAACTTTAAGATCTGTGGATACAGACATCCACTACCATTTCCTACCATCAGTTTAGTAGATTCACAGAGTAATTGAACTAATTAAAAACTAGCATTTATACAAATTAATTTTCTTGCTGAATACCTCCATTGTAAAGGAAGATGCAAAAATCGGTGTATTGGAATCCAATGCGGGGATGACCTGATGAACCAGGATAAGTTATGTTAAGAGCGAACATAAATATAGGACAAATTGCATTGTTATGAATAATCTATTAGAATAAAAATGTAAGGAAAATAGCATATTAGAAGGAAGAAGGTAAAATCAATATATTTTCAGGTATAACAATAATAACTCATTAAACTTTAAGTGACTACACAAACATACAGAGACATTTAGGAATGAAGCAAGCCTATTATGTAGCAGCCTCTTGAAACCTAAATCTAGGAAGATATAGGAGGCTGCATGGTAGGAAATACCTCGAGCAGGCAGAGTAAAAAGAACACAGGAAATAAAACAAATGTATGTTAACTGGGAAGAGATATCTAATTCCTTTTGTTGACCACGAACCCCAAAATAGCAACACAGACTTCAGCAGAAATAGTCTTGTGACTTGTGAAGCTACCGTTCTTTCAATCAAAAGACTCCAACTTAGATGGAATCCTAGAAAAGACCCATAAAACTCAATTTTGAAAATTTGCATTTCAAATCAGAAAGTGAAAGGAAGTTGCAAGTAAAAGTACTTTGAAAGTACATTGTAGTCCCTAGCAAGGAAACATGAATAGACAGCAAAATGAACTAATTGTTAGAGCTTGTAAAGGAGTGTGCCGCAAAGAGTCCTATGTCTAAAACACAATCCATCCCCCAAGCCAACAATTGTAGAACTAAGTTGTCTGATGACTTCAACTTAGTAAATGTAAATCTCCTTAAAAGTTCATTGCCTTTTACATTATTAAAGCAGTAACAACATCAGAGATAGCTTCCTTTCACAAACTAAAGAATGCTTTTTTAAGTTCAGTCTCAGTTTATATTTTATAATGATAGAATGCATTAAACATTGAGCATTGTAATTTGAAATACCACTTCACGAATACTCTCAGACAAATTCGATGGTTCATCAGTCTCACTCGTGTCAGAGAGAACTAATAGTATCGACAAAAGATTTATTTTGGTTTCCATCATCAACAAGTCAAGCCAGCAGTCCAATAGAGAAGGAGGCATTACCCAAGGCAACGCACCGATATGATCTTCATGACCATGTGTTATAACAAGCGCTTCAATTTTGTGGCTCCATTTTCTTATAAAAGTTGTATCAGGTATAATCTTTTGTACTCCAAGGTCATCATAGCTGAAACATCATACGATTCACACCACATACATGCCAAAATTACTTAACCGAATAAAAGTAAATGAAATGACACAACAAACAACAATTTGACAGTTACTTTGGGCCTGTTTTAATTAACATATTTCAACTTCTGTACTTCAAAACTAAAATAAGAGCGGGAAATTATTATTAATAAAGGCAACACTGATGACCGTTGTACAAACTGCGTCATAAGGGATTTCAACTCCGTCTTTGAGGTTACAAAGTCAAAATCTTACAACTGAATCAACACCTCATGGACACGAGCTTATCAATTGAGACAATCACTTGTGAGACTGTTTGGGGGAGCTTATAAAAACAACATATGATATGTCCATAAGCTATTTTCAATTTTTGCCATGACCTCTCCAAGATAGTTTATAAAAACAACTTATAGCTAATATGAAAACAAATTGACTTTATTTCGTTTTTTGTTATAGAAATAGCTTTTACATAAACACTTATCTCATAATCATTTATGCTATAAGCACTTAATTACATTGCTATCCAAACAGGACCAAAGTGCACAGTATTTTCTGAATGTCTTGAATATTATGATGCAAGGAAAACTATTAAGGACCTATGTAGCACTGACATTTTTTATCGAATGCATGTCCAGTGTCCTACACGACACTACCATATATTCCCACCTTCTCTTAGTATAAATATATGTCCAGTGTGAAAGTTTGAAGATGGTCAGACTACAAATATAGAAATGAATTTTATAATTAGGAACAGCAAGTACATTCAATTACATTCAATTTCTATCATGTTCTTAAATTATTAACAATATTGACATACAAGTGCAGTGTTAGTGTCATGTCCGGTGTCTATGTATATTTGTGTGCTTCATAGATAAGAACTTACTCAGGAAACATGATACCAGCATCAATGAGGATATAACGGTCATAATTCCCTACAAGCATACAATTCATTCCAATTTCACCCAACCCACCAATAGGTAGAACACGTAAAGGCGGTCCATCGGAACCTTCGTAAAACTGCTCCATCTTGCGTTGAATAGAATCTTCCATACTTTTCCGTGGACCTTCGATTCTTCTTCGTCTCATGTGAGATGCTCTGGAGCTAGATCCATCATTACCTACTCATGCATACAGAATATTGCCAATTGCGTTACTGAACAATAATAATACACAGCAGCATGCTTTACTAATTCTAGTTAATGTTGAAATGTAGTGATAAAAGTATGAATGTGAAAAAGCGGAGGATTGTTATCACCTGAAGCTGAGAGCGCTGAAGCGGAAGCGGAAGCGGAAACGGAGAATCTGGTTGCTTTTGAGCGGAGAAAAAGGAGAGTGTGAGGGAGGGGAGGGAGGGACGTAAGAGCGGCCATTTTTGCGAGAAAGCGAAAACCCTAAGCTATGGTATGGAGAGAGAGAAAGAGAGTGTTGGTTAGAAATTAGAAGGGGATAGTGTTACAGCTTCTGCTGGTGCTGGTTGATAGCGGGAAATGGAGATTCTTTCAGTGGATTGGTTTGGTTGAGCTTCAAAATATCTTTCTTATCGGTTTCTTCATTATACGACACTTAAACCGAACGTGTCTACCACACGTGTGGAATGATAAACCCCCGTCTTTCATTTATTTAAACTATCCATTCTATAAGCTTGAAGGATTTTTTAAAGGGAAAATTAGTCTATTTTGCATCTATTGAGCTCAATTAATACAGGATAGATTTTTTTTTACGTGCAATTGTAAAGACTAATATTTCAAACCAGGTAAGACTATTATTAACAAAATATTTTAGTGAGAAACAAAAAAACCATAAATAAATATTATTTATATGTATGGATTTAGACTATCATTAGGGCTGGCAATGAACCAAACCAACTCGAAGATAGTTCGGAATTCGACTCGACAATTAAATCGTTGAATTAGGTTCATGAACCAAATGAGTTGAGTATGAGCGAAAAATTAAGTTCGTTAACTAAATGAGCTGAACTTGAACTATACATAGTTCGACTCGTTAGGTTCATGAGTCAACTCGATTACATATGAAAAGAATTATACTGTCTTTAAGATTAGGTTTAAATATTTACTTCAAATCTTAGACAAATTTAATCTTCAATTTAGTAGTTTTTGAGTTAGACTCTCAAATGTATCTCTTGAAAGTTGTGTAGGTTTTGAATTAGTAGATTTCGAAGATAAAGTTAAATATCAATATGATAACTTTTATTTTATTTTAATATTTTATTTAAAAAATATATATTTATTTAAAATGTCAAATATACTAAAAAATATATATATTTTAAAAAATAGTTTTTAAGTTCGTGAACCATGTGAGCTGAACCTAATGAGATGAACCTAACGAGTCGAATCGAACTGTTCGTGAACTTATAATGAGTCGAGTTTGAGCTTAAAAAAAAGTTCGTGTCGAACTCGAACTCGAACTCGAATTCGAACAATTCTTAACGAGTCGAGCCGAGCTGAGGTGAGTTCGACTCGACTCGACTCATTTCCAGCCCTAACTATCATTAAAAATTAGAAGGTTGTTGGTGTTGTTTTAATAAATTTCAAGGGAGATTAGTGCTTAATTTATTTAGGTTAGATATCATTTTTGGTCTCTTATTTCCAAACAACATTATGTTAGTCTCTTCCGTCAAATTGTCTCAAATGAGGTCTATTTGTGTAGTCGTGGCAGCTGACTTGGTATTCTTGCTTTATCTTTTTTTGTTTTGGTGTTTCGTATTTTTGAAAAACTTCATTTTTGTAGAAAACAGAGAATCCTAAATTGAATTAGGGTAAAATGTTCATTACTTTTCCATCCCCATTGTTTGAAATCGTGAATTTTATCAACCATGAGTTATGTTCGTTGTTCATTCATTGTTAAACAGAATAACACCAAAAATTTTAATCTAAGGTATGCACCAGTTCCAATTTGCGATAGAGACCTACTTGTTGTTGTGGAGACATGACTGTTATTTGCAGGGAAGCAATAATTAACAATTTTAGAAAACAATTTTGGGGTTGCCCACATTTTAAGGTAAGATTTCTCAATTTTGGAAATCCTCCACCCTTCTCAAATATTATGGTATAGCCCTTTTCTTTGGTTTGCTTGATTTACCTAGGGATCAACTCAAGATGGGTGTGACTTTTTTTATTACGCCATCTTCAAATAGACTAACCAAGTCGGCTCACTTCCTACCCGTTAATACCACCTACAAGGTTATCCACTCAGCAAGACTCTTCATCGCATAAATATTTCGGCTTCATGGTGTACCCCTATTAGTATTGTGTCTGATAGAGACACAAAGCTTACTTCAAGATTTCGAAAAACTTTTCACCGTGAAATGGTAACTCAATTGAACCTTAGCACCTCAAGCCATCTCCAATCTGATGGGAAAACAGAGAAAACCATCCAAAACGTGGAAGATATGTTATAGGCTTGTGTTTTGGAGAGTGGAGGTAACTGGAAAGACCATTTACCACTCATAGAATTTTCATACAACGATAATAACAACTCCAACATTGGAATTGCTCTGTATGAAACTTTGTATGGAAGGAAATGTAAAACTACTTTGTGTTGGGCAGAAGTTCACGATAAAGGAATTCTTGGACCATAAATTATCCAAGAGACCACTAAGAAGATCCGAGTAATTCGAGAAAATATGAAGCAGGCTGAGGATCGTCAAAAGATTTATGTGGATCATAGAAGGAGACCTTTAGAGTTCGAGGAGAGGGATCATGTATTCTTGAAAATTACCCCTAGACTCAGACTAAAAGGACTTTCTGAGACAAAAAAGCTAAGCTCGATGAGACCTTTACTAGACCATATGGCGGGTGGGTGAAATGGCTTATTAGTTAGTGATAAGTGTTAAAATGTATCGATTTTGAGTGTGAATGATTGGCACCTATTGGCTTGATTCGTTGGTTTTTCGTTAATAATCCCTCATTTTTGTGTATATTTTGTACAGTTTACATTATAGTGTGTAATATGCATTTTTGTGTACATATTGTTGAGTTTGACAGTTTTTTATCTGTTTTTATAGGTAATAATGCATAATTGAAGTATGGACCCGTTTGAGTCTGTCGCTACTCGAAAAATACGCGCAACGACGGGGAAGGCGAAAAGGAAAGGACAGAAGAGTCGCCACCGAACTTTATTTATCCCATGAGGGGAAAGGAAAATATCGAGAAAACCTCAAGAAAAGAACGGATAAGATGGTCTCGCAACCAAGAACGAGTTCGGAAGCCGGTTATGCGAGGGGAAGGTATTAGCACCCCTCGCATCCATCGTACTCGATGGGAACCATTTGCTTGTCGTGTGCGATTTATTTGCTTAAAAATTATGTTATAAAAGTGTTCCACGGGACAGTGAAAAAGGGTTTAGAAACGGGGAAAGGACGTAACAGGGAAGAAGAGAGAAAGGACGGACTCGGTAGGACTTCGCGGTCCTAGGCCTACGTATTCTCGATAGACATGAGAAAATCAGAGTCGACGTAGTTCGGGGAACTACAGATATAAGGGGGAATGTGCTCGGCAAGGATTGTGGCCCTTGTGCCTACGTATCTTTACTTGAACGAAGTGAAGAATCAGAGCAGCCGTAGTTCGGCCTACGATTTGTTGATGTTTTTTATGGATGATGCTATCGTACGCATTCTAGCAGTTGGAGACTTAGGCATTACCTGTTTGCGGTAGAACGGACGTATCATATCCTTTTCGAAAGATAAGTTTTCGCCATGCGAGGCAAGATGTCACATTTGATTTGTTGAATTGTTTCTTTTAAAGGGGTGAGATAGGTCCTCGGATAGTAACCCCTACGGGTAGTACCCAATTCTTTATCTCAAAGTTTTTGTTATGAAAGGGTGTGGCGAACATAGCGTCTTCGTATTGAAAGACAAGTATCAAAACCACACACACTACAGTGAGCGTCTCGACACTCGGAGAGGAAGAAGTCTACACTTAATCCTTTCTCTTTAGTTCAATACAAAGAGAACTTCATTCTCTTATTAAAGTGTTTCTTGGTTTTGAATGGTAAGTGTTTTTGTGACAGAGAACCCTACGGTAAACGTCAGCACTCGGGATAGGAGAAGGCCTACGCCTAACCACTCCACGACCATTCAAATTTTTGTTATGAAAAGAGTTTGAAAATGCACTCGGTGCGGGACCGAGGTTTTAGGTGTGAAAGGGTGCGAAAGGAAATTGTAGAGGGAGATAGGTGGCAGATAAAGTTACGTCTTCGTATTGAAAGACGAGTATCGAGACCACCCACACTACAGTGAATATCCCAACACTCGGAGAGGAAGAAGTCTACACTCAATCCTCTCTCTTTAGTTCAATACAAAGAGAATCGATTTATTTATTGTAGGTGTTTTGAAAATGCGCTCGGTACGGGACCGAGGGTTTTTTAGGGAAAAAGGTGTGGATGAAAACATCTTTGTATTGAAAGACGAGTGTCAAAACCACCCACCCTACAGTGAGCATCTCAGCACTCGGAGAGGAAGAAGTCTACACTTAATCCTCTCTCTTTAGTTCAATACAAAGTGAACTTTATCCTTTTGTTAAATATGGTGAGTTGGTTTAACCATTATTTGAGAAAATCCGCTTGACGTTGGGTCAATGGTTTAATTGCTTAAAAGGCTTGAGGTGAAGCGAACAAGGTCGATGGCGACGCACGAGGCAATCGGCTTACAAGGTCAAAAATGGCTCGATGAGAATCGAGAGTTTGCTTTTGAAAATGGTTTTTTAGAATTAAAAGACACCAAGGACAATAGCAACATTCCTACTAAAATCATACAACATATGGGATTAGTCGGCTAAAAAAAAAATTGGGACATGCCAATAAAAACGATTTTTTTGAGGTTTTTTTAAGATATTTGAAGTCATAACAAACTGCACAAAGCCAGAAATTTCTCATTTTTTTGCAAATTTTGAAGCCATGAGTCGACCATAGGGTCAGCGCATGACTTTCAGCCTTTTCCCACGGCTCGGCGCATAAACACCATGTGTCGACCATACACTCGGCGCACACCATTTTGGTAGATTGACGGGTAAGCGCCCGCCGACTCATGCGTCGACGCATACTGTAAGTTTTTTTGATTTGTCTAAAAATGCAGGCTATGCGTCGACGCATAGACCTGCTATGGTCGACCGTTAGCCTGTTAAAACAGCCAAAATCCTAACTTTTTCTACGTTTTCGTAGTTTCTTGACAATGGTTTCTTGGTCCCTTATGGGGCCTTACATGATATATACAGTTCAACAACACATAAAAGAGTAAACAAAAGGAATATAAGAGCAAAGAAATAAAGAGAGAAAAGTTTGAGAAAATGGATACCCAAGAGTTTCTTCTTCTTGCAAGTCCTCTTTGGTTTTGGATGAATGTGCTCCACTCCTC